ATAAAGAAATTGGCCTCTAGTTTGAGATCTCGAAGAAGGAGCTCTTCTTGTGAACTGGAATAACTTTAGCTTGTTTCCACATATCAGGACACTGATTTAAACATGAGCTTTTATGAAATAAGGTAAATAGACCCTCATTAGCAGAAGATTTTATTGGGGTCAGGGATACGGCTCGTGATGAGACACTGCCTGGGCCAGAGGCTTTCTTAGCTCTCACCTTCACAGTGAATATGATGTAAGTAGGATTGTATTACTGAGGGAGCCGAGAGATTAAAGAAGACTGAAAATAACAGTTTGGTGTCCTACGCTGAGCACGGTGCGCTCTGCAGCTAGTTTCAGTGACCTTTACCGACCGACATTTTCCATCGTTTCTTACCTCAAACGATATCAGCGTTTCTCGCAATTTTCATGCTCAAATGAGGAAATGTTCGAAACTCTGTTAATCTTATCACAAAGAACTAATCATGGGAAACTATTTTTGGACGTTAGGAGGAAACTAGCTTGAACAAACTCACCGTGGGGAAGGTGCAAAGAGTCTTGGATCACGAAGCTTTCTTAATGTATCAACAATATTTCCTCTTAGAGTAACTCCAATTCTAACTCTAATTCTAACTTCAATTACTTTCGACTTCAACTTCAACCACAACTAATTGATATTAAACAAGAGCTACGCGCTGATATTCTCATACTTGTGCTTTATGAGGGATAGTAGCATGCACAGACCGCATATCAATCTGAAGCGCTAAAGGCTAAACTAACTGAAACCTCTGTAGTTTGAATACACTCACATATGTGAGCCTCAAGCTCTAAAACAGCTTAAAGCCTTCTGTAAAGAAAACACATTTTGATTTGATTTGATTTTGATTTGATTTGATTTTGATTATAGAAACATCACATTCGAGAACGGATCGACAAGAATTACAAAAATATTCTTGACACTTCTAAAAAACTTCGAAATATATGAAAGTGAGTTTTACTACTGCGTAACTCAAAGTATCTCTGGTGTGGCCACGACGCTTAAGATGAAAAGCATATGCGTGTAGAGAAGTTCACGCTATATTGCCACCTGATAGAAACTAATGATAATAAAAGAATCGAGAATGAGGAGAAGAAGAAACTATACCTTCAAGAGTGCGTGTGCGGTAAAATAAGAGGTACTTACTGAACGGCTGAGTAGGAGTGTTTGGTGATTGACAGGATCTTTTAGTGTCTTTGTTAGCTCTCAAAACGACCCGAATGGTTATTAAGACTCTTGGCAAGTGTTTCTTACAAGCAAACATGTATGTTGTAATTCCATTTTTTCAAAGTTTAGTTATGTTGAGTTAAGATCTAGATCTTACTAATTGATTCTACAGTTTGTAGGACCACTGACCTTTAGTTTCCTTTCGGGCCTTTGAGGAATTTATTCCAAAGCTGGAACAGTTTAAAATAAACAGATTGTTATTTTGGTTGTCTGTTTTAATTAATGATTTGAATTACTATGGACTTTTCCCCTTGAATTCCTATTTTTACGCGAAGCTCATGTTGCAATGATCCAAAAGAGCACGCAAAAAAAATCGCTTTGGTTTCGTACCACTATCGAGATAACAAGACTCCATCCGAAAAATGCTCGCCTCACACGCGGAAACGTTTGCTTAAGGGATTTTTTTTGTGAAGTTAGTAATCACGTGTACTTGCTGAATGTGACCCTGTCAGTCTGCCGCCGACTGTGGGCGCTTTGAAAAGATGTCCCTCGTACTTAGGATCAAATTTAACTATTCTTCAGGTTTTTTTTTTTTAAAAAAAACGTCTCTGACGTAACTGATGAGTATGTATTACTGCAACCACAGACAAACTGCTAGAATAGGAAAGGCAGCTTCTGCTCGACAAAACGAAACCACGCCTGGACTTTTTTCCTTGAAATATCAAGATCCTTCAATATTTAAAGTATCTGATTTATTTTGCATCCTTATCAATGTGGCTGTCAACGTATATCGCACACACCGATACGCTGTACGCCAAAATCATCAAGACATCACCTTATAATTGAAAGGTCATAGAAAAAGCGTAAACAAGCTGGCAACAAGCTTAATTCATGTAAGTCCTGATTAACTGGTGTGTCTCGCGACTTCTGTTTCACACCTGTAGACTTTTCAACGAGCATTAACGAGGCGCCAGCTCGACTCACTGACATTCATAACATTGAAAAGTCAGTTGTCCTTCAATTACGTCTGTTCGAGACAAGCCTTCCGCCCGCACTTGTAACGGAGTGCGACAAACAAGAAACCACAACAGCAATTTGTGTCTCGGTATGCTTTAATTGCATAAAGATAGAATATCGCTGGAGTAGTCTGAGCTAATTAAGTTGCTCTGTTGCCCGATTTTATTTCAACAGGTGCATTGAATTCTTTATAGGTAGAATTAAGTTGGACGTCGTTTACGACTGTTAGCAGCTTGCCCGGTTAGCCAAGAAATAACGTTTCATTGGAATTTATTGGCTAACTATCGCATTGGTTTCGTATGGAACTAACTAAAAAGATACGTCCCAACATCTTCTATAGAAAAGATTAATTTTATGGTTGTAGTCTTCAATAAATTCACTATCAGTATCTGGTTTGTTAGAGTGAGAAAATATTCCCTACATAAGTTAATTTTCCGCATGTGAATCGCTAACACTGCTAAAAGGAACAAGTATCTAAACTTTGATTAAACATGTGTGCCAAATTTAAACTTTGAATTACACGATGGTTGTTACCGCGAATTTCAAATAGGAGTTTTCTAGAACATTAAGTTAACGGAATGCAGCATATATCCTTGAAAAAGAAAAGCCTCGTGAGTTTGATTCGAGATGATCTCTTAGTTTTACCCTGAGGACTTGTAAGGTTGGCGAAACGTACTCAGCTCCATGAGTGTTGCCCCCCCTCCCAGACTGCTTCCAGCCTTCCCCTGTGTACACGCGTGCATGCATGAAAATTTGTAAGAGGTAATTTATAAATATTTAGTAACAATGCTAGTTCAGTTTCAGACGAGATTCATGACCATGACATTGCCGTGAATAACTTTGCCAGTGTTAAACGTGCTAATGCGATCCATGACAACTGACGCAGTAATAATGGCGGTATTGGCGCCTTAGAAATGTGACACTGAGTCAGTTACCAGCTCTATGGCGCCCTTCACCAGACACCGTGACCATCACCTTAGTGATTCATAATAACTTTGAGTCTATTGGCAAATCATTTGTGCGCATTCTAAATGAAAATGCAGACTACACCACTTGAAAGACCTTCGTAATACTAAAAAAAGAAAAAACAACCAGCAAATGAGTGCGTTATCATGGTAAACAACGCACGAGGATAGAGGCGTCAAACTACTTATAAAAGTAATAAAAGGCGAACCATCATTTGATTCATGGCCCGAGCACGAGCTTGGAATTTTAAATTTTCCTTGTATGTCTCATATTTTGACCAGCTTGCCATAACAATTGCGCTTTTCGGCTTAGACTAAGGAACCCGCTATTTTCATTGGCGACGGGAAGGCAGTTTCCTAATGAGGTCAGAAAATTACATGACTAAGAATTGTCGTTTATTTGTTTAATTGATATTTATTAAAATAGTTCGTAATCGTATCTTGGGAACGTATAATTTAGATGAAATGCACACGTGCGAACAAACCGCACGCACGTCCAAGCTCTTGAGTTTCCTTTCTTAAAATCTATACGGAGAGATAAATTAGGATGAAATACCTAAGCTATTTTTAATAGTAGTTAAAACTGCTGTGTTATAATATCTACATGCACTCGTAAGGTTTTATTCAATTTGAGTAAAATCTCAAAAACACCCATGAGACCTCAAGGGGGTTTGTTAAGGTTGTTGACGATCGTTCCATATATCTAAGTTTACCTAATGTTTTTCAAAGGGAAGGCAATTCTCCAGAAAGAAATGCGTTCACGATAAAATAAAATCACGGTAGTCCAAAGCGCAGTTGCGGTTTTTCTTTATTATCATTATCATTCAAGACCGATCATCTACTGCGGCAGGCGATTGAAAACACTGATGTTTAAGGTAACTTTTTCCACTCTACTTCCGTTTACTCCGACATGAACTTAGATATTACTGCAATGTGTAGAAGTTCTTTATAATTATTCTCATTGTAACTTAGGAGTATCTACTAATGCTTCTGAAAAACTATTTACATAGCTTAAAGGTGTGCAAATGTTTTTCAGTTCAAGATGATTTATGATTTTAAGTTGCAAACGGTGAGATATCACACTATTTGGTGTATGTAGACTCCGTGGCGAAATTATAATAACCTGGAACAAATCCTGAAAGCAGGGAAACACGCTCTGTCTATTTTAACGACTTTGGACAAACACCTAGAATTCCCAGTTCTATTTTTTTTGTTGTTGTTCCTTGGATTTTATTCGGAAACTTCTCTAAACTCCTTTCAGAAAGTCTATATGGCCTAAGAGATGAACATACCCTTTCCTCGCCTCAAACAACACAAAACACTGATGACACAGTGGAGGAAATGAAGTCCTGTCAAAAATTAAGTTTGTAACTGATTTATTGTCTAAGGGATGCGATATAAGACTATTGGCTTGTAAAAATTGCGAAGCAATGTGACAAAAAAAAAAAAAAGAAAAGAAAAAGGCGCGAACTCAAACTCCTTCCTTAGCGAGACAAAACGTTACTGTAAAACAATAAAGCAATCGCCGTGCTCTTGATTTTAAAGTGTGCCGCAAACGATCAAGTCAGTGGTCGAGTTTCATGTCTCAGGTTTTGATTAATAGGGGTCTCTGTTCAAATCTTCAAGGCCAGATTTAAGTGATCGAGTTTCGTTACTTCGTCATTCTTCAGGCATTCCTCAAGTGTCAAGTAATTTGGAACTGACTAAAATTAGTAAACTAACTGATATCCTCATTTGAAGGTAAGTTTGGCGACGGTCGGATTAATTATTGTTTCTTTAACAATTGCGGAACGAGACCGGCAACAGTTTTGACGTGTTAAAAGGATAACCACATCTTTAATACTCAAGCTTGTTAAAGAGACGCGTTTCCTGCTGTACTGTGCAATTAGTGGCCAGAGTTTACTAGAACAATTGTCAACGTCTAAAACTCGGTAATCCTCCGTAATAGCTGCAATTGATTTTCTCATTATGAAGTGCCTAAGTTGATCTTGAATAATGTATTGTGATACACCCTCTTCATACAGGAAGAATGTTTGCCCCTTTGGTTTATATTGATTGGCTGTAAATGTAGCCTTGAAAGGAATGCCAAACGCCATTAAAGTCGATGATTTATGAAATACGTATACGTAACCTATAAAACTCTTCAGTCAAGTCCGGAGTGTACGCGTCATTTCTAGATAGCTGGAGTACATCGATCAGCCATGAACAAGTCTGCAACTTTTGCGTTTCTCCTCGGGATCCTCATGTAAGTAAAAGAAACATCATTTAAGTTTTAATGGAAAACTTTTAGCATTACCCGTAGCTCTCGTTTCATTTTCGAAGATGCAGATTAGGACTTCTATTGATGTTTTATGGATTCTAAAGACGCTTCAGTGCGAACTGATGACGGCAGCGTTTTCTTGTAGTTAAAGATATTCTGCAGTTAGTTAACACATGGCTTTTGTATTGAGGAGAATTCTTGTTGTTCAGGCGTTTCACAGTAAAAGCAGAAGTAGGCCCCTCTCCGATTCAAACACTTCGCACGCTTTACATCTCATTTCGTGCTAAGCTGACACAAAGGTCAATTTTACATGTGCAATCTCCCTAGTTGAAAACAATTTAAAGTATCGGCAAAACATTTTATCCCGCAGAGTCTCAGCTGTCCCTGGATACAAGGGAAATCTTAATCAAACGCAAGGTGAGTTAAGTATTCAGTTTACATTTGTTAAATTTAGGACGGTGAATGATGATTGAGACCGCTTATTAGATGAGTCGGATGCTTGACTACAACGCTCTTTTTAACAAGCAAATTTCCTGCCTTTCATAAGTGCTTTATTTCATGATAGAATACTCAATGAGTCACTTGGGGCTTGACGTGCCAGACTTAATGGCGATTGTTAATCAGTCTTAAAAGAATATTAATACAAAAAGGGTCCTCGCTACCTCAGATAACAGAAAAGAAGAACTTTTATTCAATTCACGCTTCTTTAAACAATTTTCTCGCCTGAACAGATTAAATATTAGTTCGGCGCGGATTAGATCCTTTTAGCTTAATTTAGCTAAAACTGGAGACAAAATGACTGATAAGACTTTATTCTAGAAGTATCACCTCGATTTGAAACTTTATTTTTTATCGTCACCTTGGAGTTTTACGTTTTGCTTTTGTAATTACTCACAAATGTTTACTGAGGAGTGTTTCTTTCTATAACATGATGCCGTCTCTTAATCTTGAATCGTGTTTTCTTTTTCAACTCAAAAACATTTTATCAACGCATTGTGATAGCAGCATTGCATTTGGTCGGCTTTACTATTGTTGTTTATGTAGAAGGTGCATTCAGTAAATTTAAGATCGTCCCTCAGAAGGTTTTGATTGCATTTTGTTGTACAGAAATAGCTTTTATCTTATACCAGCCTTGTAATTATTTGTACACGGAAACTTTAATCATGGTCAACTAATGGCAAATGTGGCACCCTGATTACGTTACAGCTTTTCCATATCTTTCCATTTCATCCCAAATCTATATTTACATGAAAAGAACCGCTTAGAGTGATGTGTCTCCTCGAAAGAAAGCTTTTGCCAAGTTTTCAACAAATTGAGATGTTCAAACGGGCGCTCAAGTCATTAATAGAAAGTCGCGCCTTCTTATGCTGTCCCTCAGAAGTTGGCAATCCATCAACAGCTTATTGTGCGTGGGTTCTTGTCAGGATCACCAACAAAGAAGCGTTGGCATCCGTAGGTCGAAATGTACAAAACGTGAAACAATATTTGTAAGGATTTTAATTTTAGCAACTTTTCTGAAATATAAAATCCGCCAAAGGTTCCAACCTTTCTTTATTTTTCAATGTTAATTAGTTGAGGTTTTCCGGAACAAACAACAATTACAAGGGGAAACCTTGCGAACTATGCACGAGTCCATTGATTCTTCAGATGCAGCCTGTTGAATTAATTTTTTCTAAGGCAACCCCACCAACTGCTTCGAATTTAACAACGATACGTAGACGGAAAACGATGGCTCTTCCTACCAACGAAACGCAACAAACAAAGATGTCATCGCTGAGACTTAAGAGTTAAATTTAGATATTTTGGGCAGTTCTGATTTGTTAGCTCGTTTGAGGTACTCGAGAAAATCAAATAAAACTGTCATTCAAACCCAAGTCAATCAAAAGTGTTTGTCGAAAGAAATAAAACATTTTTGTGGCCACACAAGAGATTTTATTTGCAAATGATTAAATGTTCGCGAGTTGAGTAGCACGGAGCATAATAAGTACGACTTTCTCTATTCTGTAACGTGAACAAGAGAAAAATAGGCGGCAGCAATATATCCTAAGGACATCTTGTTAACACCAGCGTTTTCTCCTTTGGGGGAGGTACATTTCGCAGAATTATGCTTTGGTAAAGATTAGGTCCTTTCACTGAGTCAAAGGGGTCTAAATGTCTGGCGGGATTTAGGGGTATCACAGATAAAACAGGTGTCATGAACCGACATCTTGCCCTCGCAGTCCCGGCTGGCAAAGTAATAAGTTGGTTAACCAAGAGGTTCGCAAAGTCATAAGCTGAATTTCTGTCAATTCAAAACAAAACAAATTGCGTCAGGCCGGAAAAATAAGTTGAATTTAATGTAGTTACCTCTTTTCGTGGTGAATAATTAAAGATATTCTAACTGCTTATTTCCTTTGTACAGGTTTCAACGCAACCAACGCAACCGATGCAACCCAAGATCTCATAACAACAGGTAATTTCAACTTGACTCAAAAACCTGCAATCACTGCATATAGCATGAAATGAAGACGGGAGAGTTTTCTTGTAGCTACAAGGTTTTCCAACTGAGGATAACTCGGTTACTTTAACGACGTCTCATTGTTAATTAAAGAACACTAAGTCTCACTCTCTCTAATTCACAGCTTGTGCACGAGCTGCATCTCGTACACCGTTTCCAGAGAATTTCGTGCCATGCTGACTCGTAAATATTAACGCCATTCTAACTGCTGATTTATTTTGTACAGCTTCCAACGCAACTCAAGGATCTACAACTACTGGTTATTTCAACTCGACTCAAATACCCACGCCCTCTATCAGTGTTGCTCCTACCAACTCCAGTTTGCCAATGAGGTGCAGCAGAAAGACTGTTCTACTCAATAAGAAATCGAAAGGTAGAATCAGGTCCCCAAACCACCCTAACAACTATGACACAAATCAAGTGTGCACTTGGAAAGTACAAGTACGTCGTGGATTCCTCGTCAAGGCCCGTTTCCGATCAATTGATCTTGAAAATTCAGATGAATGCAAAAAGGACAGAGTGGTGCTGTCCAGTTCAAAACAGTTTCGAGATCCACACATACACTGCGGAAGTGTAGAACCATTCAGATTCATATCCAAAAAAAACATTCTCTGGGTTCGATTTTACTCTGATCACTCAGTCACTGGGAAGGGATTCATCATAACCTACAGTGCAATTGGTAAGTTACTCATTCTTAAGTAAAGAAAGTGAGTTAATTTTAACTAAAAAATTGACTCACTTTCTTTACTGAATGAAGTAAAGAGGAAAACAAAAATGAGATCTCATACACGCAATTACCGGAGAGGTAGAAATTTAAGAGGATGGTAAACCCACACAGCCTTTCTCTGTGCTTTTCTGTCCAAATATTAAAAAAAAAAAAAAGAACTATATTCTGCTCGGACTGAGATATTAATATTCATCCTTTTAACAGGCTAATGATCATGACGCATGTACAAGAACAAAGCTCCTTTCTAGCATCTAACACAATGAATGGCGCAAGATCCTTCTCTGTAGCAGCACCATCATTATGGAATTTTCACGTCTTTTTTTTAATATGTTCTTCACTTTTAAATAGATGAAAACGAGTGCGATATGGAGATGTGCACATTTCCCACGCTGTGTAGAAACACGGTTGGAAGTTTTGAGTGTGACTGCCCTAAAGGTTACGATAACAAAGGACCAAAGCAGAAGGCGACTTGCGTGGGTAGGTCACTGTAGCTAAGTTGCACAATCGGTGATAATTTCTTTGATGGGTTTATGGTTAAAACGCTTTGTTTTGACATCAAATTCAGGTGAACTTTTTTAAATAATCTTCTCCAATAACGCCCACGACTGTTATTCTCCACTCACTCCTTGAATTAGATGAATACTCTAGAACTATGCCAATTTTCACTTAACCTTCGTTATTTAGTAATTGATCCTATGTTCGAAGTATTTTAGATTTTCTACTTACAAGGGTGAGATTAAAAAGAAGGCTTTTATTGATAAACGAAGGGTACATTTCAGCTGTTTTAAATGATAACTAATATCTAAATTGTTCGAGATGAGTGATAAATACTCTAGCCAGCTTAAGTTGAATATACTGAAAAAATGTCACATTGAAAGAACAACAAAATATCGAAACAAAAGGACGACCGAAAAAAAAAAACAGCCAATCGGGGTATCTGAGGTCATTCAATAATATGCTGTTTTTTTTTTTTTTTTTTTTTTTGCAGACACAAATGAATGCAAGATTAATAATGGAGGTTGCCAACACAAGTGCGTTAACACGGGGGGAAGCTATTATTGCAAGTGCAGAAAAGGCTATAAACTAGCTCCGGACGGGAAAAGGTGCAGAGGTAATCGAAATAATTGAAAAAACCTCAGGTTCTAGGCGCCCCGAACATGCTTAACCTAAAGTAACGAATGGAATGCGCAAACGTAACATTTTTTGTATTTATGGCGATTAGTCAAGGTGCTGACACGCTGAAGGGTTCTCAGAAGATTTTGTGCAAACACGTAGACAGTATTATCGTTTATTGCTTATGCAAACAAAGCATCACACAGTTATGTTAAGTAATCTTCTTAGGATAGTTCAACTATTTTGTTATTTATATTTTAACATATATTGCAACAACGAAGACGAAAATTTTCATCCATTTAACAAGAGAGCACAAGCTCTTGTATCTGGTCTCCAGGCTTTTGCTGCAAGCCTACACACAAGCCAACAAGAAAACCCGCAATAGGAAAAAAAGGGAGACAATCATTTACTGCAAATTGTTGTTAACAATCCAAGACACAACATATCATACAGTCTGATATCTAGTAGCTGAAATACATAATTCGACGAAAGCGTGTTATTAAGGTTTAATGTAATAACATTAAATATTGGTGAGTTTCACTGAACTTTACAATGTCTTTGTTAAGAGTTTTCTCGCAGCATCTACAATAAAGCTCTGCAGACTAAACATAGCTCCGACCTTAGCTTTAACATGCGCAAGAACCATTCCTAATCCTAAGCGCGATTACGGTAGCTCAGAACTGTCTGGAATCCCTTTTTCCCCAAGAAAAAAAAATTGAAATTCGGATCATCGTTACAAACGCTTTCACTCAGCAGCAACTTATTTGATTTTATTTGAAAACAATTGTTCTTAACCTTTTCCCTTTATCCCATTGATATCTTTTATGTTGCGACTAAGTTTTTCGTAAAAGGTCCAACCAATATCGAATCTTTCCCAAAAATATTGTGAGGAACGACTCTTGCCCGAGACAAACAAAAAATGATTAAAATTTCTAAAAAGAAATTTACGTTAGACTGACGGATTAAATTTACATGAAAATAGTCTCGACCGCCATAAATAGAAAAAGAAAAGAGCGCTACGGCTCATGCTGAAGTAACCTACTAATTTAGATGCCTTTAAAACAGCACAAGGCAAGTAAGATATCAATCTCGAAAACTTTTTCTTTTCTACAAATTTATTACAACTTTGCCATAAAAGTTAGTTATCGCTTAGGGTTTCCCACGGCGTAATCGGCGACGTCGTCATCTGTGTGCGGCTGTGTCGGACAATTTCCCAATCTACTTGTGGGCTTGACGTACGTGCCCGCACGTACCTAGCTAGATGAAGAGTTCAAAAAAAAAAGTCAACAATCAACTAATGAGATAAACGTTTTAATACAACAAAGGTGTAATATTTGGAATAATTGTGTCATAGACGGGTTACCGTGCGTCTCGTGTGCAAAAGGATAATCTGTCGACAGCGTGAAATTTCCGTCGCATTCGGTCTTTAGAACCGGAAATAGAAAATGAACGATTACGGGCTGATTTTTAGAAACTGTCAAAGTTCAAAACGGCACTGAATCAATTTTCTCAGAGATTTATGATTAAAAAAAAGAAGGTGAATGGTGTCATCATAAGTTCGTTATGTCACGTTTTTTTTTATCTCTAACAAACTACTGAGGCGAGCTGACGGATGCTTGATGAGTCTCGTTAGACTGGGTTAAAATAAACACTCCAGCTTTTCAGGCAGATTCTTGGCCTTGGTTGTCCGGAGCTTGAAAAAAAACTGTCCAAAAGAAATGCGTTTCCACAGTAGATACTGCTGGCGCCAGAAATTGAAATCTTATCTATGAGCTTTTTATTTAGGAAGCACTATTTATATGGAAAACAACAAAGTTGTCAGGATATATCCATACCGTAGAAAAGTGTTAACATATACATGCGGCACGTCCTTTATCACAACAAATATAGTATTCCAGTAAATTAGGCGAAAAACGAGCGGTGTTAAGTTTTCCACTTTTGTAACAAGTTTACATGCTCAAGCAATTTTCTTTTGGATTTCTAGCTTCCGTTTTAATATCAAATGTTTTTCTATAATTAGGCTTCTTACGAATAAGAACAAGAAAACGTTCTATTTGTGCTTAACTTTGCCTATTGCCAGTTTTGTTTTAATCCTCACTTCAAGGGAGGAAATACTCATCCTCACCTCCAATCTGATCACCATCCGATCATTGGCAGGTATGATTAGGCTCATTCATTTGTTAGCCACATTCTTTCGACTCAGGCGAGTGTTCGTCAGCATTGTTTTCTCCAATTTTCAGGATCGTTTTTTTCTGATAATGAAGTCGGTTGAAAAAGCATTCAAGGTAAAAATAGCAAACCAGGCAAGCGTAATAAAACTAAAGGCACCAAGTGTGAAAGAGAACGCTAAGAATAGGGGAGTCATGATAAGTCTCCGGCCAACAGGTGCCAACAGAGGATTTCCTTGTTAGAAGCAGTGTTCGTTAACATTGACAGTCCAAAGGTAACTCCACAGTTCCCATTTGAATATCAGAAGTAAACTGTTGACTCAAACTGAGTGAGCCATGACCCCTGAAAGAGCTTTTGTTATAAACGAGTGTTGTGAGCGCCACTAAATTTTCGTTTTCATTTGATGAAAGTTCATTTGCGATATCAGTCCATAATGCTCTATGAATAATATAATCCTATGTAAATCCTTTTCTACTGAGGAATGTTATAATTTGCTCGATGGTTTCTTCGATTAAACTCATTGTTTCCTTTCATTTCTTGCCTTCGCTCATAACTCTTTTCTGGTAATTTTAATAATGTTCACGTAAACATCGCCGAAGTTTGTTTCTTGAAAGGCGCCTTTTATATTTTTGTCCTGTTAACTTTGATAAAGCCTTGAATTTATACTTTTCCCTTTGTCTCTTTCGCTGAAATCTTACTAAAAAATATAGTAGAGGGCCATTTGAAGTACAAGTGTACTATGTATTGCCGTATGTTGCAAGCTGTTTAAATGTAGAGCGGTGTTACTTTCGCCGTTTTTCTAAAGCTGTAAATAAATGTTACCCTTACCTACTGATAATTATCGCTTGTTCTAATGTTCTGTCAATTTCTTTTTTACCTCAGCAGATAGAAACGTGTGTACTAAGGACAATGGAGGATGTTCCCACTTCTGCATTAACATGAGATCCTCGTACCGCTGCGCATGCCCATCGGGATATGCGCTGAACACAAAGAGAAAAACATGTTATCGTGGTAAGAGAATTGCGATATCACCAGAAACCATTTTCATCTGCAGTGTTAATGTATGCTCTGAGCAACTAGTTTGCGTGATAGATAGGCTAACCACAAGAAAGTTGGCACAATGCCACTTCTTTCCTGCTAAAAGTGTATTCATAAATCATGGCTTTGTCAAGATTTGTACCAACCACGTTGGCATGATTTCTTTTTATCCAACCGCAGGGAAGAAAAACTTCGGGACTTTAGTTTCAGGAGCACGTGCACTAAAAATGTTAGCTTCGTGCAGACAGGCAACGTAAAATAAAACAAACAGAAAAGAGAGACAGCTTGAACAGAAAGATAGAAGAGCAAAAACTAGTAAACAGTTTCCTTTTAGCGAATGTCTTCTTTAACGTTCTTTCTTTCTTGTCCGATGTAGAAATTTCCTTTGCTAATGACCAATACATGGTGAAAGTGAGTGAAAGTGCGCAGCGTAACACAGTGGTTACTAAACTACAAGCAAGAACTTTCCCTGAAAGACGCATCATCAGTTACGCTCTATTGTCGGAGAACCTCAAGGAACCTACGGTTTTTAAAATCAACTCAAGAACTGGAGAAATTATTCTTAGAAAAAGGCCCAACATAAGCGAAATGCGAACTTTCCTGCTTGAGATTGAAGCTAGCAGCTTTGATGGAACGAAGCAAAGATCAGCTAAGGCATTTGTACTCATTAACTTTTCAAAAGTTCAAAGCCGCGGGGGCTCTCTGTCTTTTACGCATGCGTCTCTTTACATCAGGGTTCCTTGTAACACGCCATCTAATACGACCGTTTATCGCGTTCAGACCAAAAACACAGGGAGGGGAGGTGGTGTTCGAATCAGCTTTCAACGAAAATTAGATCACTTTTCGATCACCGGGGGAGGAAAAATTAAGACTCAAAGAAGTCTCCGACCGTTTTGTGATGTTACTCCTTCAAAGACATTTCGAACATATGTTGCAGCCCGTGACAGCTCAGACGTAAAACGAAATGCGCATGCTTTGCTGCGGATCGAGATAACACCACCAATACTACTGCCTTATACTGGAAATAGAAGGTAACAGTGAAAAAGGCGTACATGCGCCTCACCGCTCATTCTCCTCCGCGCGGAAAATAACCACGACAGGATAGAAACAGCCTCACTGGCTTTCACTGGTGTTAGTCACGAGAAGTGGTTTATCACCGGGCAATTACGGAATGCATACCCACCTGGCAAAAGAATCATGAAAAAGAACTTATATTAATGGCCACGCTATACAAAAGACGTTGTAACGTAGAAAGATTTTTTTGTAACTTATCGTATCTCAGCGAATCTACAATAAAATTGTGGAAAGGACAATACAGCAGGACGATGAATCCAAGCCGATGTTTAGAAGGTCAAACAGAGATACGATCAGTTGTAGGCGTGAAAAATGGCGCTTAATTTTATATTAACAAAATGAACAAAGAGGGTTTTAAAACAAAAGACTAGCAAATATCTAGTATGCTTCATTTTCAGAAGTTTGAAATGTCAATTAAATTCAAACTAGAAGCACACGCTATGGCTTAATGTTGCCTGAGCCATGGAGAACACATTAATAAAAGAAGATATTTCATGTTTTTATTGAGAACTAGCTAGCTATTCATGTAACACGACAGAAAAGCGAAACAGAGACTGCGGAAGGTTCGTTTGAGATGAAAACCCCATAGGAGACAAGCGCGGCAACGAAGTCTTTACCTCAAAACCAAGAGCGCCTTGTCATGCTTTAAAATGACGGTTGTCAAGTGCCAGAGAACACATTGAAGAAAGGAAGAAACTGGGCAGAAGATAGATCAAACTGTCAGACACCCCCAGTTTCTTTTGCTTTAAATGTGATTGCGCTTAGCTGATTAATATTTACGTGGCCTTGCATAAATTTTAATGTATCTCGCTGCTGGTCTCAACTGTAGGAAGTGGACACTACTACTTTTTCTAGCTTGTTCCTATATTTTCGATGTCGACTGGAGCCAGTTCAGATACAAACTGCGAGATCCTGAAGAAAAACTTACATTTCTTTCGCTCTCGTCGTCTTCGAGGTTGCAAGCCAGAGTTATTACGTTTGGCCCTCGATGTAGCTGAAGAGAGTGGGCATGATAAACTGAAATAACTACTATTTATTTAAAAAATCAGAAAGCAATATCGTTGGATGAATTAATAGAAATTGCATACATATATCTTACCCTTGAAGAGCAAGGAAAAACAGTCGACACTCAATAACCTCGCACTAACTTAAACCAAAATTGATTTCCCCTCTAGAAATCTATCGATCATTTACTATGATTTTGCTCTCGACAACTTGAACTGAACCATGCGCAAACTCGAAGAAGTTTTTCATTTCTGGTAAAAAAAAAAAAGTACTCTCAACAATCGAACAATTCTTTTCGAGTCGTGATGAAGAAAAACGAACTGTTCTGTGTTCAGAATATTGAATTTATATTGCAAGAGTAATAGATTCAAGGACCGTCCGTTCATTTGGGTTTCGATTCAGGGTACACCATACAACTACAGCGATTTGCGTCCTCACGAGGTTTTGTTAGATACCGACGAAGGGCTAACGCTTGAAACGTCAGCTTTTGTAAACATTACGGTGGCCAATTTACCATTTCAACTTTGTTGATATATCCAAATTATTTTGCTAGATAACCCCAACTTCACAACTTTTCAGTGTCACTCGAACTCTGCCGTAATGTAATCAAATTTGATTAAAATGCATTACGTACAATTTGAATTTCTCTTAAAGGTTTGAGTCAGTGAGGGTCGACTGTAAACAAGTAGATCTATTGCATTGGCAATGAACATTAAATAAAATCATCAGTCTTCTATCGCCATAAAGCCCACCAAAGGCAAATCTTTCCCTTTTACAGATTGAAGAAAGCAGCTTACTTGGAGAGGAAGTTGTAGCCTGAAACTCTGCGTAAACCACAAAACACCACACCTCTCTGACTTGTCCTCAGATTTTAACAAAAAATATTTCAACCCACCCGGGATTGTTGGGCTGTATTCAAAACATTTCGTTGGCGCAATTCAGATGGTACTAATTTTAATCCAAATTGTTGCACGTGACTTCTCACTGCTTTCAAATGGTTATGATCTGTTTGCGGCTAATGACTTCAAAACATGTGAAAGCTCGAAAGGTCTACAAATTCAAGCAAAACTATTGCAAATCGTTTCTTGACAAAACTTAAACCATGCATTGGCGTGAGATGACCTGGAATGAAGAGCCGTGAATATCCATTCTTAAATTTTGGGTGTGATCCGTTGCAAACCCACCGTAAAGTAAGTCACTGCACGTAGACCCCACAAAATGAAACAAGAAAAACAACTCCAGTGGTCAGTTGGAGAAAGACCTTCCTGTGGAGAAAGACCTTCCTGTGGAGAAAGACCTTCCTGTGGAGAAAGACCTTCCTGTGGAGAAAGACCTTCCTGTGGAGAAAGACCTTCCTATGGAGAAAGACCTTCCTGTGGAGAAAGACCTTCACTGATATCAGCTAAACTTAGTGACTAATGACAAGAAATAAATTAGATAAAGGCCTAAAGCGCAGGTATTCATTCCTAAGCATCCCTCGCAATTAGTTCCTCTTGGTATCTAAAGGATATATTTATTACCTCTGTTCTCGAGCTATACCTAACTTGCCTTAAGGTCGTAGCCATTGGGTACGTTTCTTGGCAGCAGAATCATCGTTTTCACTGTAACTTAAAAGGAACACAAGTCAAGTTCAAACCTGCTTTCAAGTTTCTTTAAGGGTAAGTCTGCGTTCATATTTGTATCAGATTATCTCATGTCGCAAAGTCATTTAATCGCGAAAATCAGTCAAATCGTTTGTTTCGTCGTCATACGACCTACTTTGACCAATGAGCTTCTTGCCTGAACCTTACTCAGCATGCGAGCTAGGAACTTTTCTATGTTTCTGTACCTTTCCTTCCTATAGCATCCTATCCCATGTCCAATAATTATAGGATGCTACTATTGGAATGATATTCCTATATCTATACGGGAGAAGCCCACTAAAAAATTTTTTTAAAAGAACACTTTTGTATTCCCTTTCTCAGTACTGATTAATGTCTTCCTCTGACCATGAATTATTTATATATTTCTTGTTTAAGGTGTGACTCCTATTCCCTCTCATATATTTGTATCTTATATTTGTATCGCTTCTCTTCACTATATGAACAAATTAGATTTAACGTAAAGGGCATCTAATTAGCTTGCTATATTATGCCCTTCTCCATCTTCTTATCTTTCTTGTAAGTATTCATTAGCTTCTAATTTATTGAAATGGAGGAAATAAAAAAAAAAAACATAAAAAATACAATATCTTTCCTTCATGATCATTAAATGGTGCAATGGCTATCTCGTATTTCAGTTCCCTAAATGGCCAGCCCCTCGTGGAATTAAGTTAAAACATTCGAAGGCCAAGAAGCATAGCAAAACATTCTTCAGTATGGTAGACTAAAGGAAATGTTTTTTCCTTTATCTTTTGTCCTTTTAAGTAAAACGGTAGGTCGACGAAATTAATCATAGTCCTCAAAGAAATGCACCAAATAAATATTCCACCGTAGCCATGAATTCCAGTCAGAGTTCTTTCGTGAGTGATGATTGCATATCCTTGAATAACTAAGGATGAATGAATCCAAGATGGCGTCCGAACCCTGAAATCGCACAGCATCCATAAACAACTTAGAAGCGACACAAAAAAGATACGTTATCCTAAAGAAGTACGCCACTAATATAAATATGTGAATGGACAAACTAGAACTATTAAGGAGTATATATTGCACTATACTGTTCGAAAGCTTTGCAAAAAGTAGAGTGTTAAAATTAAAACAGTGTTTTCGCATGAATATCCTCAGCACGTTTGTTTCTGCAGTTATTATTCTGCCAAAACAGCCCAGGAAGTCGAGATCGATCTGAATGTAGACTTAGAAACTGTTTCACAATAGTTACAGTCCATCTGCTCACCCTAAAGTGCCCTGAATCAAGATTTGTTTTATTTGGAAGCACGCGTCGTCTAAAATCCTTAAACACTGTTTCTATCAAGATCAACGAAAGCCCTCTTGATCGCACTAATACACTCAAATCCTTGGGTGTGACACTCAGAGAAGGTCTGTCTTGGAATGAGCTCATAACAAAAATTGTAAACAAGGCCAACCAGCGACTCAGAGATCTGTCTTGAAATGAGCTCATAACAAAAATTGTAAACAAGACCAACAAGCGACTCAGAGAAGGTCTGTCTTGGAATGAGCTCATAAGAGACATTGTAAACAAGGCCAACCAGCGACTCAGAGAAGGTCTGTCTTGGAATGAGCTCATAAGAGACATTGTAAACAAGGCCAACCAGCGACTCGGACTTCTTACATGAATCAAGCCTCTTCCACCGCTAAACCCTCGTTTAACACCTGATCTCTCTCTAATTCTCTCACAATGATGACATAATATGGGGTGACAAAAACAACACTCAGCTGATGAACGATCTCCAAGTACAAAACAAGACAGCGAAATTAATTTTAGACAAACCAAAATATTCCTCTTGTGGAAGCTCTTGAAGAACTAAAGTGGAAGCGCTTTGATCACAAACCACTCTTACATCGATGTGTTTCTATTTCAAATGCCTTCAAAAAATCATTGATTTTCATTATCAAAATTTAGGACAAAATAATGCCATCCACCATCATAATACCCACCAGTCCAAGAATCTGCATCTTTCTGCTCCCAAAAAGAACCGGGCAATGCAGAAAATTACACACCAAGTAGCTTTCGATTTCAACCTTCTAAGTCCTTAAAGAACTTGAAACGCATGCCTCAATTGTATTATATTTTTATTTATCTATTTCTTATGTTTTATGTTAAAGTAACTTTGTTTTGTATACCTTATCACGTTTTTTACTTCGTAAGTGAAGACTGAAAAAGCACACTAATGTATCAAAATATGCGAAAAAATTCACTTTTAAACTAATATCTTCAATAAATAAATTGACGAGTAAAAAGGACAGCAACAGAAAAACTATATGCATTAAACGATCAGGAAATTCGTGAATAAAACATACAAGTGGCACTCACGATTTAAAGAACAATAGCAGGATTGCACTGAGTCTTGATTGTTTGAAACCAATTTTTTAGGCGGCCGCAAGAAAGCCGTCTCACCCACGGCGTTTTTCGCTCAAGTTCCCTTGAAAGAACACGCACATCTCAATCTTTGCAAAATGACATTTGTGTTATTTCGCAAAGATAAACCATTCGATAACACTGACTCAGAGATTTAGACATTCCCATCTAATTCTATACGATATCAGCCAACAAACTATCCAGCTATATCGAGACTCATAAAAGCATTCCGATGTATGGCATGAGGCAAAAATCCTGACTACTCAGCAAAAAGCGATCACCTGAGATCTTTGATTTTCAAATCAATATCTTCAACAAATAAGTTGATGAGTAACACATTATGTTCTCATTTTCTGATTCTGTAGCATCTCTAAAAGTAAGAACAGGAACGTGCACAAAATGCACAGGGTCAAGGCAGGGATAGTCATGCTATTCATACTTGCAAAGAATTGTCGCTGATATGTAATCTTCCATTTCTTTCATTCCCTTCAAAAGTGTCAGAAGCAAGTAGTTAAAAAATCAGCGAACAGACAGTTGACACAACAAATACACCACCACCTTCCCAAAACAAAAATCTACTTGGAACTTTCTTATCATCGCATCGCGATTCCATGCAAAGAACGAACAAGTCAATTCAAAGCATTATTTAGATTAAAAAATGTGGTTGAACGTGTCTTGGCGACAAATATGGCTCTATTTACTTGTATAACATTCTAATAAAGTTATGCAAAACATTTTCCCTGAACGATAAAAATAAACCAGACACCACTTAAAGGGTTCGTTGAATTCAGGCTTGAATTCAACGGCCCATTTAAGTATCCGAGTCTACTGAATACAATTGGTTTGACAGTAAACATGGGAGTGTAATCGGTGTGAATATGAACATCAAGGCTGGATGTGGGATCCGTTTGATACAGATTTCTTTGTACATCAAACTGTACCTAGGTAAAAGACATTTATTTCGGGAAAGTGCTGACTACAATCACAAATCAAAAATGTCTTGAATGGATTCAATGAAACAGGAAAAACAAAGAAACGTTTAAAAACACAAGCAGAAAAAAGAAGACAGACGATGTTTTCTGAGAGGAGTGAATCATTTTCCTTACCTTCAGTTGAGTCTTCAGCTAGGCGCCCACGATTTCCTCCCTTGCTATAATTACAAAAGGTGTCCCTAGAGGTTCAGACATTTACATCCATGGTATCAAATAATATTCAGAGTAGATCATAAAAGGAAATATTGATTTACAGGGGACAAACCACAGCAAGTGTCAAGGGGTAACCGCTTTTATTTCAAACTAATTATCGAATCATTCTACAGTGGTAACACGTGTTATCGTCTTGATTTCATATAAAAATATTTGGATTGGCATTCAAATCCTTCATGTTCTCCTTTTACGTGGCACCCGATGTGGACCAGTTTAAGATTCTTCCTCGTGAAAAGCAGGTTGAAAAAGTACTTCCAGTTTAATACGCTTTCTTTAGGGCACTTCTCAGCGGCTTGGATCATTGCTGGAAATATCTGCCGTGACTTCTCGATTCTGGAAGAGGTTAAAAATACACAGGTGACAGATCAATTAACGGAAATTGAAGAAAGCAAGACTTGATTCGTGCCAGATTATAATAACTTGTTGTCCTGCACGTGTGAAGCTAACAATGAGTTAAACGCTCTCGTTTCATTCGCCAGCCGCCTATCTCTAGCGAAATAAAATGTCCGGAAACTTCCCTCAGCAGCTTGGTGGACAGCTCTTAAAGAAACGGCTATTAACTAACTCAATTAATGAAAAACAACGTCACACGTATAAGCATTTACTTCAGTTTATCGCTACAAAACACGTAGAATGTCATCAGTGGCCTTGTGATAAACCTATTAGCGCTTTTTTTAAAACAGTTATGCCTTTTTGGTGGATGTCAACCGACAATGATTGAGACGAGTCTGCATCCAAAACTTTGTCCGAAGTCAACATGCACAGTTATGACCCCTCTTTTAAGCCGTCAGAATGCGGCACTTTTCACGAGCGCGGAACCCTTTGTAACTGCAAACTGCGAGGATTTACGGTTCAGTGAGCATAGGAAGAACATAGTTACCTTCTATGCGCTTCCTCGCCCGACCGTTTTCTGCAAAAGTTGCTTTCGTGAGAGACCTTGAGACTGCACTTGAGGGGCCCCAGGAAGTTGAGACTTAAAAAGGAGCGTGTAAATGTCTGACATACCAGACTTGAGCAGACAGCTAAGTGCTAGCCATGCTTCCACTTGAATTTACGCAGTTTAACTTTCAAAAATAAAAATATCTTCTTTTCCTATTTTGCGCTCCAAGCAGTGACAAAGACTACGACACCTTTTTTGCCTTCAGTTCGCCGGAGACGGACACCCCATCACGACATTCAACTGATTAAACAATTCAGAGAAGCAAAACCTTACATTCTGAAGAACTGAAAATCTGAATTGAAAAAGATTAAAGTGATGGAGAAAAATACTTACACATGATCGAGATTCCAGGTACTGAACAGGACTCTGCTCTCCTTGCTACCATAGGGATTGATCGTGTGTAAGTGTGAACAAGTTTTTTCATTGTAAGGCCCCTCACAACTGAACCACCCCTTTTCACAACACAGACGCAGTTCATCACCAGCAGATCTAGCAAAGTAGTCACCAAAATGCTGATGTTTTTTTAGTTCCTCTTGAAAATGCTTCAGGGTACACGATAGGACAGGTTGAGCTTTTTTTGACGCCTGAATGAAAGATATGTGCCTGTCAATAGATAAGTACTCAACTATGAGGCCTTTGGGGCACAAATGAACACATAAAAGATGCACTTTATTGTTTTTAGTGTTTGACCGGCATGTAATTTTTCCGCATTGAAATGTCGTGATGAAAAATTTGTGATCTCCTTAACGAGTTAAATGATCGGAATTTTAAGAGTTGAGCTAGTTAAACCTACTGTGACTTCAACTTCAATCAGTCTTTTTACCCCAGAAGTTGAGGAGGTCAGTATCTTCACATTTGGAATTTTCATTGATCTCATTTGTTGAAATTGCATTTAATTTATTTAATTTCAGTCAAATTGCTCATCCGTTGGGCATATTATGCGGGCTCTGTCGAGGAGGAAGGTGTTACAACAACAACACCATCTTGGAAATCCAAAGGACAGTGCAAGGTCAAAATAGGTGTTGCTCGCGGTACCCTTTACGAATAAAGTACCTTATCATCGTTAAACCTTTTAGGTACCTTCAAGGTTTTTATTCTGAAAACTGATGACACAAATTCCCAGGGCTGGCACAGCATGATTTCGAGTGAGAGGGTTTTAAAAGTATTTTCAAGACATTCAACTACTCTTACGTACAGTAACTGTTGAGCGAAGCTATCTTTTCAATCTTCGCAGAGGAAAACAAGTCTTTCAATAAATGCACTTGCTGCCGGATTTACCAGAGTAAGCTTGCCTATTGAGATAACACTGTTTAGCATTTTCCTCTTTGGGGTAGGCCATTCATTCATTCTAATAACAAAATCGTCAAATCATAAGGAATTCACCTTTCCTCCGACGTCCTTTCGCTTTTGGCGTTATATTTAGGCTGTCTGAAGTACTACTAAGGCAGATGAAAACAGGAACCCTTACTTAATTCGCTCTGATTCAGTGATTTAGGGTGGGTGAGAGTAGTCCTTAAAACAAACGTTGCAGCTCAGGTTGTCGAAACGACAGTCATAGTCAAAGGTAGGATCTTTATAGGTCATAATCAAGTGTAACACCTTGGGTTAAACCCATTATACTACTGCTCTTATACTGGAGCTTAATGTACTTGCTACACTTTAATTGTGGTAGTATTGAATGTCCCTCAACATGCAGATTTTCCTAAGAAATCCTATACATTTTGGTAGAAAATGTGCTACATTTAACGCGCATTGGTAAGGTCATCAATGATAACTTTAAAAAATTAAATTTCCCTAAACTCTATCTAATGTGGTTTTAAACAGAAGTGAGTAAGTATGGTTAATACCCTTTCAGCAAATGATTTTGAGAGATTGTAAGCAGATGGCAAGCCCATTTGATTTACCCCCTCGCCACAATTCTCAGTGTAATGAAACAAAACCAGTCCAGTCAGTTACTTGACTTACATGTACATTATTAAAGAGTGACATGCATACACTTGAGTAAGAAAAAAAAGGATTATCGCCCATATGCAACAACTGATTCATGTATCTGGCTGGGCATGAAAAACTACCCAGGGGGACAGTAAACTCAAACCAAAGTCCAGAGTCAATTGAACACCTAATCCACCCCAGCACCAACCCCATGCTTTTGACACCAAACCACCCTCCCTTTCCACAAGGACTGGCCTCTTGGCCAAGCTGCAGCAATGCACCAGCCTGAAAACAAATTATGATCGACAGCTTACAACAAAAGTCAGCAAAAAAATTAGTCAGAATCAAAGTGACCAAATTTTCCCAACCTTCCCCCCCACCCAAGAATTTTGGAGACAAAGCTGCCAGCTGCTAAGCCTTTAATAGGTCAGTCCCTGGACTGCATCTGGGTACTATCCTGGAAATTAAACCCTCCATACTTTCAGCATCAAGGTAAATGCCCTAATAGGCAGGTGTTTGCAAATCAAATTCATATTGTATAATTGCACAGGGAACTTACTTTCTCAAAAGATTCCTTTGCATTAGAAAAGTACTTCCTGACTCTGGACTTTGCTGCATTCCTCATGGCATCTTCTTTGGTGTTGAAGGATTGGCTAAGGCCATTAAACCAGGCCTCATCTTCACTACGTTCCTCGGCCTCAATATTATCATCTAGACGATTGGCAAGTTCCAACATGACGGTATACATCTCATTTGACGCAGAACCATGCATAATATCATGTATCTGTTCAATGATCTCATCTCGCTGAGACATTGCTCTGAAAATCTTCTCAGTAGCATTCTTGAGTACAGTCACATCTGAAAGTGCAATTATGGGCCATGTGGTACCAGGTTCAGCACTGCATATTTTTGAAAACTATTTTTATGTACATAATTCTAAATGCTTGCCCATGTTTAGGAACACAGATACACGTAATGAAGATGGTTTCATACAGCATTCCCTTAAATTTGATTTCTTTCAATAACAGCACAATTCTTGGTAGAATTCTTTTGATTTTATCTTAAATTTAATTTCATCTTGACTTCATTTTTATCTTAAATTTAATTTGGGCGGTCATTCAGTACTAATACCTCCAACTTATTTTATGACTTGGGTAGTCAGAGGGCTAATAACTAAAATCAACCAATCAAAATGCTCTATTGCGGGTCCAATATTCTCTAAGTATTGGACCGGGCACTGTCCCGAATGGTCCCGAATGATACCGCTCTTGTGTCCCTTTGAACTTCAGTTGTATAATAAATCTCCATCTTATTAACCAAGCTTGCTCGGGTCCATACTGGAAGAATATCGGCCCTTGGTCTTTTTTGTACGGACCTCACTGTCCATACTGTCCATACTGTCCATACTGTCAAGACCTCCAGCCAATATTCTCCCAGTACGGCCCTCGCGCTTGGTTAATAAGATATATATACTGTCTTTTCATTAACCCTTCAACTCATATAATCCAGCAAACAGGTAATGAGAATACTCAAACTGAACTGCTCACATTAAATTCCCATAATACATTTACAAGGACATATGTAGCAGCTTATGTGAAAGAGCTAGAGGGGTAAAGCAATTAGACCAAATAAGTTGAATTTTATTAAAAAAAAGATAAAATAGGGGAACAGATATAAGCTCTTTCTTTATTTCTTTACCGAGCTAAAACCTTGCAATCTTTATTATTCTTTACAAACCATGATGCTTCCACAAAGCTGATCTTAGCAGTATGCAAGACATGTCATATATGAACTTCATAATGGCCTTGCTCATCATAGAGTCATTCCAAGACACGATTGCTTTTTTATCTATCTTACCATAAGTACAGAATAACTTTTATTGACCACAATCATGAAACATGCAATGCTCAAATTAGCTTTCTCCATGTTTTGAGCAGCATCGGCCTTCTTTTGCAAAAACACATTTGCATGCAAACAAGAAAACAAACTTAGCATGTGATACAGTGGCTATTTTCAGTAACAGCATTTTGGTAGTTTTAAAGTGAGAGCAAAGAGTTAGTGGGGAAATCTGTCCACCTTGTATTGAATTTCCTTACTCAACCAATTCACCCATCAAAGAAGTATAATTTATGTACTTCAAACATGGAACCGTTGGTAAGTCACTCAAGGGAGGGAAATCTTTCTAAAAGACTTTCGGTAAGCCTGTCTCTCAAAATAACGTTTGAAAATAACAAAAAAAACTTATAAATCTCGATTCTCAAGTGATCCGAGTTCTTAGAATAGGGTGCCCAGTCTAACAAATCGCACCAACACGGTTACAAATATGGGCCATTCCATTTAATATCTGCACCCCCCCTATTGAAGGCCTGGGAGTTCTTAGGAGGAGGGGAGGTCAATGCTATATTTTTTCTTAGGGGGGTTGAACCATATTTTTGAGAGGGGTCGCCATAAAGTACCCTTGACAGAAATTCTCACGAGAGAAATTCTCACGAATAGTTTCTGAAGGGGGTTCAATTGGTTTGCTTGATAGCTACATAAAATTCTGAAGGGGGTAATTTCAGGCAATTCTGAAGGGGTTAAAAAATTTCTTTTCTGGAGGGGTGTTACAGGAAAGCCTTCAATGGGGGGGGGTGCGGATTTTGAATGGAATGGCCCTATACCCAAAGGTTCCGTTGTCGAACATCCGATAAGACACCCCTGCAGGTAAATTAATTACCATTGGCTTACTAGGTAAGAGAGCGTCAAATACTCAAAACTTTCACTTACATCCTTTCCATGTCTCATTTGGTTGCACAAACACAAAGACTGTTTGAGGCCGTAGAGTGATAAAGTAATCTTCATCATCCACTATGGTTCCATCTTCCAAACACACTCTGCAATCCCCAGCTACAGCAAGTTTTTTCTTGCCTTTCTCCTTCAGATCGTTAAAATTGTTAGCCACAACCCCTATGCGTTTCTTTCCATAGATATCTTGGATCTTATAAGCTTTTCGAGTGACCATACCTCTGCCTTTATTTTGAGGAGCTGAGCTAAAGATGACAATGGCATACACGGATTCGCAAATGTAAGCTGATATCGTACCCAGTCTCTTACCTATTTTGTCTATAGGTGACCACCCCTCTCCGACTCACTCCCTCTAACGACTAGTACGTCCCTCTAGCGAACACTTTGGGAATTACCTTTTTTCTTATTTTAAAATTTTCCAAATTTTTAGGTTCTTTCATATGATTTTGAATAACCGTTGTTCAAATTTCTTGAACGACCGCGGCCACCTTGTGAGTTGTGTAAAGAAGCCACCTTAACAGGGTTCATTCTTTTGGAACGAAATTAGGTGCAAAGCATCCCACAGGTAACATTCTAATTCATACAACAAAATACTATCAAATCTTTGTGAAAAAGTACTTCGTGGCCGGTATGACGCTGCGTTTCGTCTCCGCCAAAAGACTTATCTGATACCTTTCCGAATTTCCTCATTTGGGTAAAGTGATTCCAAGCAATTGAGAAACAGTGAACGCATTACTATATATACAGTTGGGAGCAAATACACTTCAAGAACCAAGAATGGATAAGAAGTGTAGTATACTACATTATAAAACTAACTATAAGTTTTTCTCAAAGGGAATTTGGTTGTTTGTTATATTTTGACGGCATAAACTTTGATGCAGGGAGTTTGTTCACCCTGGTCGGGATATTCACTCGCACTCTCCAGATGGAGGGATTGTTCGTAGTCTGATTTAACAATTAATTCATCATTGCTATATATTTCTTTAGACTTTGTTTATCTCATTCATCCGCCTGTCGGTTTCCCGCCGAAGCTGTCGCTGCAATCACCCCCTCAGCCTCGATCCACATAACTGATCAAGCATTGCAAACCGTCAACTAAGAAAGTTCCACCTTCACTGGACTACAGCGTGCACCAGAAATAGTATGAAAACAGGAGTAATATTTGATTGTGTGGTGTGCTCGTCCATGTGAGAGTAAAACCTGAAAAGGATTATGGTCGGCAGTAGGTGACTGAGTTTTCGACAACTCAAGCGGAACCTATCATCAGAGTCGATAGCTCTCGATAGTAAAAAGAAGGTCTGCTCTCGAGCCGGGCAGCATGCAGCAGCATAGCTTACACCGACAATGAATAGAGGAGGTAAGTTTCATAAGAAACTGTGGTGCTGCGTCGGTGGCGCGTATTAAAACATAATTTGGTTTTATCAACTGAGTTACTTAATTTACACTTCATGAAAACCGCAGCACACATATATGATTTTCGTATATTCAAATTCATTGATTTATCACTTCGACGGGTTTAATACAAACCAAAATAATGACCAGCTCCCACTTGGCTTGTTAGCTCAGTTGGTAGAGCGCTGCACCGGTATCGCAGTGCAATTTTCTCAATGGGGGTTAACCGTCAACTCAGTTGGTAGGGCACTACACCCGTATCGCAGTGCAATTTTCTCAATTGGGTTAACCGTCAACCGTCAAATAGCCAAAATATTAACCGTCAACCGTCAAAAACGCAATATTTCTACCGTCAACTTCAAATAAACAAGCCAATGATAGCCGTCAAATGTCTCAGATATCCTTAATTAAGAATAAAACAATTGCCTTAATTGGGGTCAAGTTCTGTTGTTTATAAATAAAAGTCTTGATTTGTCACAAAAAATCATTTATGTAAGTCCTTCATCTTCTTGCTTATCACTTTTCACTCCCTGTGGAGCATAGGTCCAAGGAAACCTCACGCCATCTCCTTCTATCCCGGGCCAACTTCTCTATTTCATTCCAGGTGTAGCCTGCCTTGGCTGCCTCCTTGTCCACGGTTCTCCTCCAGCTGTTTCTAGGACGGCCTTGTTTTCTCTTCCCCTGTGGGTTCCACCTCAGTGCATGCCTGGTAACATTGCTGTTCGGTTTTTTGAGGGTGTGCCCTATCCAACCCCATTTGCGCCTTCTAATCTGGTTGTCAATTCGTTCCTGTTCAGTTCTTGCCCACAAATCTTCATTCCATATGACCTCAGGTCAGTTTATGTCCATGATGGACCGTAAGCATTTATTGACAAAGGACTGCAGTTTGTTGGAGGTTGCTTTCGATCGTTACCCACCATGTCTCTGACCGATACAAGAGGACGGATTTCACGTTCGTGTTAAATATCTGTAGTTTGGTCTCTCTGGAAATTGTTTTAGAGTTCCACACAGAACGTGCAACTTCTAGTCGCGAGTAAAGCTGGTTAGCGACAGAACCGACTTTCGGTGTGAAACACTTCCGGTGATTAGTCATTTATTCAGTAATAAAAGGTGTTATAAATTAACAGTTCTTTACAAATGCGTCATTATGAAATTTTTTTAGTTCGTTTTATAAACGACATTCCAAAAAATAGAGGTCATGGGTTCAAATCCCGTACGGGCCTGAATTTGTTTTTTTCGGGCCTTATATCCATTACTATATAAGTAGGGTTCATTACTGCGAGGATCGCTCTCATAAATTTCATGAAAACCGCAGTACACATATACGATTAACCTATGACACCTATATTCAAATTCACTGATTACATGGCCACCGTAAAAGTTCCTAAAGGATCACCCATAGCTTTTAAATACGCGTGCGCACGGTGCAAAACTTTCATTTATAACGCTGCGCAAGATTAAATAAATTCTCTTGCTTTGAGAAGATATCGCGACCCAAGCGATCCATTAGGATCACTGATCATTTCACATGTACCTCATTGTCATCTACTGCATTTACCTAATGTCGTCTACTGCATTTATTGCCTAATATCATGTATCGGCGAAACAGGAAGACGACTAGGCCATCGATTCAGAGAACACCTTCTAGACGTACGAAGGAGTGACAAGGATGCATCCAAACCAGTCGCAACGCACACTTTAATCCCCCACAATCATTCTAAGCAACATAGGCAGTTCAGAAAGCCGTAAAACTCAAGAGACAAATTACCTTTTAATCGGCACTTCAATTTCTACGTTTTCAACGAGCACTTTTCATTCCACTGATTTAATCGGATGTTTTTCATGTTACCATGTTCCCACTGATAGCGTTATTCCATCTTTCTATACGTAAGCCACACACATCCCAAAATTCTTGTATTCACTCGAAACGTTAACCTTAGAAACTCTTTACGGTAGTCAATTCATTTGACTCATCACTTCACGGGTTAGATGCGAACCAACATAATGACCAGCTCCCGGTTGGCTTGTTAGCTGAGGTAGAGCACTGCACCGGTATCGTAGAGGTCATGGGTTCAAATCCCGTACAGACCAGAATTTTTTCAGGCCTTATTTTCACTACTGCTAAAGTTGTGTTCAGTAATGCGAGGATCGCGTTCATATACAGTCAGTTGGCCATTATTAACTCAGTTGATGAAACCAAATTTTCAGAGCTTAGTCTGGTTGCCATTCCAGTTTCCTTAGCAACATGCGACTGGGCAACTTCGTTTCCATATCTTTCCATATTTGTAGTGAAAAGCGTTCTCGGGGCGAGGTTGGAACCTCATAGTATCATTACTCCCACCCTAAATGGGATTTTAGTCCGTAATAGGCTAACCACTCCCTCCCAGCTTTTCGCTCAGTTCCCCCAACACTTCACGAGGCATCCATTGTTACTCCTGAGCTAAGAGAGGAGTCGTGAGAGCAAGTGTGCATGCTTTGCCTAGGAATACCATATAATATGTCCAGGCAGCAAACCACCCTGAGGCTACTGCTTCTCCCGCGCTATCGCTATCGTTTGCTGAGAATTTTATCAATGGTTTTTCGGAATCGAATGGACAAGGTGGGATTTTTATTATGGGTTGTAGGGTTACCAGTCGTTTCGCACCCATGGACGTTTCGCACTCAGTCGATACGTACCCAGCTAGGACTATTCGTACCCAGTCAGTTTAGTCGTTTCCGTACCCCTATTAACAAAAAATGTTTACTATGTTAGCATGTTTAGATTAGGGTCGGTTTCTTCGGTTAAATGGTCATGAAATCTACTTTCAATAAGTTTTATTTATGTGCCGTTCATTCACAGGGTTTAGTCTTGTTAAGTAGGTCATAAGTATACACTACAGAACTTTACTTGTAGCTTGCTCACTTGACTCTTTACTAAATAGTCCTTTGAAATCTTTACACTCGTGGGGATATCGTGAGATCTCCTAGGTTTTGATCGTCACTGGATGTTAGGACGGGTACGAATCGACCAGCTGATTGGGTACGAACCGATACAAACTAGGGACGAATCGTATAAATTTGGGTACGGACCGATTGAGTATGAAACGTCCGTGGGTACGAAACGACCGGAAGTCTAAATTTATTTGAATTGTTGTTGGAAACTGAAATCTTTAGGTACAGCCAAGGAAGAGTTCCTAAGCTGTGACCACAAGGTACTTGTAACCCCTACCGACCTCGTTCACAGATTTCCTAATTGCAGGAATGTGAATTCTATCTCATCTTTTCCGGCAATTCATTTGGCAGTGGTCTCGATTCCGACAAACTTCAAATGCACTGCTCCTTTTGACCGCATCAGCGTATATCTGATTTGGAAATGTAGTCAAAAGTACAAGACGAATTCAACATTTATATATTGCTTTAATTCAATAAAGGTCTTGGACATCTCAAAGAATAGCTATGATTACACATTAAAAACGAGCAGCTAACTTAGATAACTTGAATAACATAAATTGCCCTTTTTATCTTTTTTTTTTTTTTATAAATCGACCTCCCACTGAATCGGTAGGGGTGTTACGAATTTTTTCCTGGTGGCCTAGACTAAAGGAATTAGTGCACGACTGCGGGCTTCTGGCGTGAAAGTATTTGTTACAGGCGATACCAAAGTTACCGAGGTTTCCAAAAAAGCCAGGAAACTGGAATATGCAGAGTCAACAAAAGGAAGGAGATGAGCGTTCTGTTCATACAGAAAAAGAGGCGAAACTCCAGGTGAATTACCGCCGCTTGATAAATAAACTCGCCAGAAAAAAATCCGTCATCGCTATCTTGACTAACTGAAAGGCGACGTAAGATTTTAAAATGAGCATCAGTTGTGACAAACAGTGATGAAGCGAAACCTAACAAGGTTAAAATTTGTTCTTTCAGGCAACAGAGACAATGAATTTTCACGCAAGATAACTGTAAGGAAAGTTTTGGAAATATCGACATGGACAAGGATGTCATTTAATCATGAATTGGTTCAGATATTTTGCAAAAAAAAAAAAATGAATTCTACTCGGTCGTTATTTATGACCTGTGATAAAAGCCTTTCCAGATTGAGCAAAAGCAGAGTTAGTGTATAACTTTTCCCTCATATGTGCTGGTTGAAGATATAAGTTTCGTTTGGAGTACACTATCTTAAAGATGCTTTAATCAACATTATCAATAGTGATGCAGCATAGTAAAGATTAGTACATACTAATAATATTGGAGAGCGTTGAAGGCTAAATCAGCTATTTACCTCTGTGTCGGTGGCTAACGGTGAATATTAACCTTACCGCTTCACAACTCGGTAAATATCCACCATTGACCTTGAGGTGAATAGTTGTTACTTAGCGGCAGCCACATTCTTCAACAATCATATTCTTGTAGAACTCCATTCTAAAGTCATCTTCACGGTATTCTATAGTGCTCAATCCTCTAAGCTTTATTGGAACGCAGCAGGGCTCACCACTCCCTTGGTCGTGTCCCGAAGAATACAATAAAGATCGTATGATTGCATAATTAGTTGGATTGACCTGAAAGAAAACCAAAAATGGTTTTCCTGTGTTAAAATCTTGCCCAATAACCATTTTAAATTGTATTTTGCAAGATTCATTTTGTAAAATTTATTTTGTAAAATTGCCTAAATCCAGCGCCACGCATGCATTAATTAGTATGATTCACTCTTGGGCGAAGTCAACGGATGGAAATGGATCGACTACGAGAGTTGTACTCTTTGACTTCCGGAAGGCATTTGATCTGATTGACCATCATGTTCTGGCGCGGAAGCTTTGCTCCTACGATATTCCAAGGCCGATTTTGTGCTGGATCATGGACTTTTTAACGAACCGTAAGCAAAGGATAAAACTGAGCCGCGATTGCTTCTCGGAGTGGGAAACTGTTCCTGCAGGGGTGCCACAGG